TAAAAATTTTTTTTTTTTTTTTAAAAAAAAACCTATATATGAAAAACTGTTCACGTTCTCTTTCACAAGCTTTAAACAAGTGTCTTTAGGCTCTTAAAGCACCCTTCAGCTTCATCCTGGAGTGTTTGATGCAACTCTACTTATGTAGGGTTAATTAAGCTTTTAAACAGGCTTTGTAAAAGCTTCAAGCCTCGCTATACCCAGCATTCCTATTTCAATGGGTGCAACCATCCCACATTGGAGCTGAAAGGTGATGTAGCAGTTTAGGAAAGGTGCTTGCTAAATGTTTTGTAAATGCAGGCTGAAAATGATGCCCTTCAGACTCCCATTTACAGATTACACATTGTATGTAAATGCAACTAAACTATATTTCAGAAGCTACAGGTCCTTATGAAGCCCTCAGTTCTGCATTTGGCAGACATATATAAAATACTTTGGATTCATCAAAAGCTGGCCTGCTGGATGTCTTCTTTGTTTTATTATTCTAAAAGCGTGTGGCTGTACATCTGCTCCGGCATGCACAAGCCATAATATTTACTGATGAGGAAGTCACAGCAATGGAGATGCAGAATGAAATTCATGGATTCGCTCCCAGCGGCAGGGAGGGAAGTGACAATTAGGCTGAGACACAGCAGAGACTGATGAAACGCTGATCAAGTGTAGAGCACCAGCCAGCAACCGGTAAATGCAGCTGAAGCGCAGACACCCTGAACGTGTTCTGCAAAACTTTACACAAAACTGCCCTTGAAAAGAGCCACAAAATCAACAGGGTTGTCCCTGTAATAAGGAAATCAGGCACGCTGTTTGGGTCTTTATCATATAACTGCATCTGTTGAATAGGAATAAGCTTATGTACAGGTCTGAACTGGAGCTCGCCTGAACCCGGCAGGAACAAGGGCCCCTCTGGCCAAATGTAAACAAAGGGGCGGGAGGCTTGACACACAGCCATATTAGGGCAATGTCATTGACCAAATATAGCCATCTGGACAACATCCCACCCCTTTGCTTACATGCAGCTCTGGGTGGGGAACTACCCGGCTGTAGCCGATTGGGCAGCAGAAGGCATTTCCTTCCGGGTTTGGAGGAGCTCAGGTTTGGACCAGGTTCATTCTGAACCTGAACTCATCTCTAATGGTGACAACAGTGGACCATACCTGCATTATGTGTTTGAAACAGTTGCTTGCAGTCTTCATTGGAAGCCCCTGGGACAGGGTGACAATGCTGGTGAGCAGTTTGAAGATGGGGACAGAGCATGGTCACCCTATAACAGGAAGTGTATGAACAAGGACCTACATGGCAGGATCGTCCGATATTATTTTAAGGAAAGCTTTTTAACGTTACAATTTTTTTTTTTAAAAGCAAACACTTTTTTCAGGAAATTACATTGAACCTGGTAAAGCATATATGATATTTTTTGGTTGGCTTTGGCACTTTTTGATTGGCTTTACATATTCTTTAGGCCTTGTTCACACCAAGCGCGTTCCAGGAGCAGAGCAGTTACAGACCGGATCAAAACTGCGTCCAATGTATTCCAATGGTATTTTGGGCTCTAGTTCACACCGCAGAGTTCAGTTCCAAAAGCATGTAAAAAAACTGCAGCAAGCCCTATTTTACCTGCTCTGAAATGCACACAAACGCATAAAAAATGCATGCAAACGCCCTGGAACGCACTGAAAGCCCATTCTAAACAAAAAAAATATATATATTTTTTTAAACCAAAACCAGCCCGGAACGCGTCAAAAATGCGGGAAAAAACGCAGTATAACACACTGCACTGCGTGTGCAGAGACTCATGCAGATCTGGTCTGCATTTGGTGTGAACAAGCCCTCAAGGCAACATTAATGTAGGCTCAGAGATCTTCAGGAAGCACATAACTTTTATATACAACATGACCACAGAACTACCCGATATATACAATATCTTGCCTGCAGTAGGCAGAGATACATCAGAAAGCAAGGCTAGCCAATCTAAAAGGTATTAATCATGTAAACTACCACCTGGATTAGCAGGCTGGGAAGAGGCATCTCTGTTTATACAGAGCTCTGGCAGATGGCTATTTGGACAGACAAGCCTGCTGGCTTTCTCACAGCAGAGAACAAAGTGTGATGTGATGTGAGGAGCCCTGAAAACATGGCACAGGTATTGCTACTAACTACTGTAAAGGTTGCCCGTTCAGACGGTCACGTGAGTCCTAATGGGATGTAAACAGAGAGCCCTGTGTCAGCACATTTCGGGCCTGTGTCCACACTCACAGCCTGGCAAACTTCTCTTACCTGATCGCTTTCACACTCCAGCTCTTTCTGAAGAACGACAAAAGCACATTGCGTATTCATCATAATCTCCAGAGCTCCACACAGGCTCTTCACTTTACCCGCAGTGCTGTTCTGGCCTGGAATCAAGATAACACATGCAGTAAAGTCAACTGATGCCAATCTAACGGAGTATATGAGGCAGTACAGAGACCTGATATGGCCTCTTTGCAGTAAGCAGGAGCCACACACCGTGTATAAGGGACATGGACAGTCCTGTACTATTGTTAAAAAAAAACAGCATAAGCATGCATGTCTATTTGTTAATGGGCTTCAAGGTAGGAGACGTAACCCTTTTTTTAACAACAATTTGAAAAGAAAACCCCAGCCTAATGGCTACATACAAAAAGGAAACTCAAACATCTATCAACATGAATGGTAAATTATTATTATTATTATTATACAGGATTTATATAGCGCCAATAGTTTGCACAGCGCTTTACAATATAAGGAAGACATTAGTCACAATACAATTCAAGACAAGATGGTAAGGAGTGTCCTGCCCGTGAGGGCTTACAATCTAAAAGGAATATACACATTCTGGTGATACACCCACCCCTACTGTACAGCTATATACAGAATAAAGGAGGATAACCTTATTCAGAGCATTAGAACACCTCCTGTCTGCTCAGATGGACATTACTACAATGGCGACACACATCCTTAGGCCAAACCTGCATTTCTAAGTGTTCAGAGCATGTTTCTAAATGCATATCAATGCAGGTAATGATTTTTCAGGAGGTATCATTTAGTACTTGCCTTTACAGCCATTCAAGTTGGGCTGCATTTAGACAAAATAGAATTCTTTGCATCCAGAATGCGATTAAAGACCCTAAACGCAGCGTTACTTGTACAAACTTTGCTAAAGAGTCTGCTTTAACGCTTGAGTAAAAAAGTGGTCTGGGAAGAATACACTTTGTTTATATTTCCCAGATCATTTCTCGTGCATGAAGATAATCTACATGCAGGAGAGCAAGTGTGAATGAAACCCAAGTTCTTCCCCGTCTGTAAATCTGTCAGTCGCCAATCTCATTCCCATGATGGACTGCAATCTCACGGTTAGTTTACTTGTTTGCTTTGAGATTGTAGTCCATCCCGGGAACGAGCTTGGAGCGGTGACTACTTTTACAACACCCATAGGGACCATGGGGAACAAAAGTAGCCCCCCCTCCAGAAGGAAGGACAGTGTCAGCACACAATTCAGAGATGATTTGAGGACCTTCAGCCAAGTGATACACAAATGAGATACATATTTGTTAATAGTTAAAAGGAGAACTATGAGGTGAGTGATTTTCACTCAACCTCATAGTTCGAGCCAACCTGTGAGAATGAAACTGTCACACGTCGGCTCAATAGATCGGGAAGTGAGCGGACACATACCGTCGCTCACTCACTTCTCGATCATGCCCCTGCAGAAAGCCGTGACTGTCACTCACGGACGGGAGAGGGAGCGGGGTCAGCTGGCTCTGCCTCTAGATAGGCAGAGCCCGCTGTCAATCACGCAGCTGGGTGGATCTCCACAGTAATGTCGGGATCCGTCCCGGCTGCGGCGGTCTCAGTATACCACGAGCTGTAGCTCGCTATATACTGAGCTTTGTGTCACGGGAGGACGCTAGTTTGTGTCCTCCCGTGAACCTTAGGAGACCTATGGGGAAAATAACTTACCCCATAGTTCTCCTTTAAGGTACTCGAATACATTTTTTAGATTTAACTTGTGAGTTTAGTGTCACTTTGACTGTTTTAAGGTGTGTTTTTTTTTTTATTTTATTAGGGATGCACCGGTACTAGTATTGGTATCAGTGCCGATACAGAGTATTTGGGCGAGTATCGTACTGGCCCAAATGCTGCGATACTTACCCCCCAATATCGGAACTGATAATGAGATCTGCCAGCACAGCACAGACAGGGTTAATTATGGAAAGCACCCTTGCAAGTTATGCTCTGAATGAGAACATGTCACAGATATAAAGTAGGTGTTATCCCAATTTGGCTGCAAAGGTGGAAATAAAATTGAAAGCTGCAATATATGAGATTTTTGTTCGTGGGTTTAGATGCACTTTAATGAGATGACGGAGGGAGAAAGGTTCTAGCCAAAGCATGGCAAATGCATCAAATATATCAGATATAAAGCAGATTAAATGTTGGATGAATACACCTCCTTGTTGTTCTAACAAACTCTGTACCGCTGGCTTAAGCCTCCAGCCTTTTCCAAGTGTTTGTCCAGCCACTTAGTATAGCGTCGGTGCTCGCAGCCCAGTCTGAAATGAGGAAATGTCACCAATTCAGCGGATTTACATGGCTCTGTGCTACTGACACGGTTTGGCAGCGGCACGTGTGAACAAGGTCGGGCAGAAAATCCTTCTACTTTCTCAGCACAGCAATTTTTCAGTTGAATTAAATCGGATTTGCAGATTTGGGGTAATTTTAGCCTGCGGCTCTATAATAGATGGGATAGGAGTCACTCATGTGAGGCGCTTTTTATCATAATGAGCATCTTTGTTTGTATGTACCACACATGCTGTCTGTACATCTGTTCCTATAATACCCTCTGGCAGGGCACCCGCTGCACACGCTATTTGCATTGTGTTAGCTGAGCTAAGTGAAAGCTGCAGAAGGGATTGTACTAACCTGGGAACAATCCGTCAGAATGTCGCAGTACGGGCAAATAGGACTATTCACGTACACAATGTATAGCTCATGGAGTCTCGCTGTTCAGTACAGATCATATCCTGTTCATGAACTGAGCCTGAATATCAATTATTCCTGCAGTGGCTGTTGTACCAATACTGATTTATCCTTCTGCAGGGGACCCAGGACTGAAGAATGATTTTCTAGTATATAATGCTGGTCCTAGTATGTGGTTAAAGAGGTGTAATATTACATACACCAATAGAAAAAAAGTACCCAACTGGGGCAATAAAAGAAAGCAATCGTGATTAGACTGTTACCAGAATGTGAACATTCAAAAATGTCTAATTATTGTGCAGGTTTATTGTCACTTTATACAAGGTTGACTATGAAGACAAGTATATGATTTGAAACAGCGGCGTAACAATAGCCATAGCAGCCGTCTGGGGGTGGAAGGGGGCCCCATGAAGGATTGCTAAAGTTGCTGTTGACCCTGCACCGCTTATGGCATTTCCAATCAAGAAGAGTTGATATCAGATGTACAGGAATAGACTATGCAGACAACTCTCCTGCGACCCGTCCTTGATTTAGATTTTAAGGGTTTGCCATGGGGCCCATTTCAAATTTTGCTATGGGGTTCCCATGATCTGCACTTACACCCCCGATTTGAAAGATCCCTTGAGTCCTAACAGTTGCTGTCCTGTCAACTGCCTTGCCTCATACTGTTAGCCAGCTCCTGAGTGTGCATAACAGCATAAAAGACATATTATGTTATTATTTGGAGCTCAACTTTCCTCCGCTTAAAAAAAAAAAGAGAACTAAAGCCAAACCTTTTTTTTTTGGCTTAAGTCCTCAGTTGGGGCAAAGGAGTACATTTACCAATGTACTGCTGTGACCTAAAGTCAACATCTAGCAGGCTACTGCCCACCATTTGCTGTGCTGCAGCCAGGAAAGATCAAGACAATAGTGGGGATCCACCCTAGTGCCTGATTGACAGCTGGCTCTACCTCTGTAGAGCCATGGCCAGGTGTAACCGCCCCCCTCCCGTCGGTCTCTCCAATGAGCGTTGAAGGAACAGAGAGAGGAGGGGATTGGTGACTGACAGTACTGCTCTCTGCAGGGAGAAGAGATCGAGAGCCGAGTGATCAGAGGTTCATGATCGCTCAGCTCCCCAGCTATAGCGTTGGCATGTGACATTTTACTCTCCCAATACCTATCGTTTAATAAAATGAAGGGGTCATTTCCACATCCTCCTAATAAATGGAGCAAACCTCTAGGGTGCATGTACACCTCTGCATTGGAAAATATGTGTATTTTACTTGCATTGTTTTTAAGAAAACAAGACAATATAAAAGCAAATTTCAGTTTTGTTTTCATCCATTTCTATCCAACACAGGCTTCCATGCAAAAAACACCCGTACACTGCTACTGTCAATAGGCAATTTGAATAAGAAAAAAATAGATCAGCAGATGTTATTTTAGTGAAATGCGCAACATGATCATTAGATCCAAAGATAAGTTTATAAGCTGCAAAAGCAGAGCTTGGGCCCACCCTGACCTCATCACACCAAGAACACAGAGGCTGGAGGGGACTTGGCCATGGATGAGCTTAACTATTGGTCCTTTAATACGATGGGAAAGCTCACTAGCCAGTAAGGAGGGACTGGAGGGGACGAGATCTTTTACAGCAAATGTAAAGATTTGCATACAACTTCATCTGCCAATATTATGTGTTCTAAACACCAGGTACAGGAAAATTATTTATTCAGATCATAATGACAAACAAATAATAAACATCTTCTAATGCTTGAGATGGAGGTACTACTGACGAACATTGAAGCCATGAGGCCTCTGCTACAGTGATCCAGCACAAGCATGCAAAGCCAGCCTTACTTAGGGCCCTCTATACCTTGACAATACTATAAAACAGGGTTAGGCAAACTCCGGCCCTCCAGCTTGGTGCAACTACAAATCCCATTAGGCGTTCCAAGACTGACAGCCACAGTCAGAGGCAGATACATGATGGGATTTGTATTTTCACCACAGCTGGAGGGGCCGGAGTTTCCCTATCCCTGCTATAAAACATAATAATGGAGAACTTACTGGACATCTGGAACTCTGCAAAGGCCACTCTCTCGAGCTGCACTCTGAGAAGCTCGCATGGAGCGTCCTTCAGCACCTGGAAAAGCTTCACTGCTTTGCTATAGTGGAGATCAGCTAGAACGCGGTGCTGCTTCCTCAAGTGCTCATCTCCCACCTGTAGAAAGAGCAAATACTGTGATACAAGTTGTCTAATACACAACACAATGTACAAAGAGGAGACATACTATGCCCAGCTAAACTTTCATCTAGTTGCCGGGTTGGCTCTGTGGTACAGAAGATTTGATGAAAAGGGGTTAAAAGATGATTGTTATTTTCTATTAGATGAGCTATAAACTGTCAGATCCTCAGATCAGATGACAGGAAAGATGCATCATGTGCATGCCCTTGTGGAGACAGTTAGGCTGGGTTCACACCTAGGCGTATCAAATATGCACGTTTGTCGCGCGTTTCAACCACGATTCGCGGTAGACAAACGCGCATTTCCGAGGGCTACCTGGCTGTATCCCAATGGATACGCGCGGCAAATACGCCACAAAGAAGCTCCTGTACTTCTTTGGGCGTAGGGCGTTTTGTAGCGCGTTCATACGGCCTGTTATACGCCCAGGTGTGAACAATACCCATAGGAAAAAATGGGATTTTGGTGTTTGAGCGTTTTGCAGAGCGTAGGAACGCGCTACAAAACGCCCAGGTGTGAACCGGGCATAAGAGATCCCTCATTCAAACCACAGCAACTTTCTTTCTTGTAGATCCACTGTTGTACAGATTAGAAGAATGCTACAAAATACTGCAAACAGGAGAGGAAATTATCCCAAGGCTGCAAATTCATATACAAATGATATAAATCATCTGAATCATATACTACATACAACCTGACAACCTATTAGTGAAAAACAGACTCTTTTTCTACTATTAGTGAAAACAGACTCTTCTGTGTGTCCCGCTGTCACAGACTAGCGTACGAGGTCTATTTCTAAAATGTTTGCAGAGCGAACAACTCTGCGAATGATGTTTGCAGAGCATTATGACCTCTAGATGGAGTCAAGGAGCATAGGAAATTCCTAGTGACAATAATGTGCTGTGAAACTCGTTCACAGGAGGTGTTCGCTCTGTGAAAACTTTATGAATAGACTCCCAAGTCACTAAGGGCCTGGATTATGTTGCCTTGTAAGCTAAGCCCCTCCCCTAAACTGTCCACGATATAGTAAGCTATGCTCTAGTACAGGGGTGCCCACAATTTTTTTTGGTTACAACCATTCAATTCTATGGGCACAGTGGTGTGCGAGGCACTTGTTCCACGTCGTATCCCGCTGAGCTGAAGAGGGAAAAAAAAAAAAAAAAGTACTGCATACCGTACTTTTTTTTTCCTCAGTGCACCCCACCATGCGGTGGTGTTGATGGTGTCCGTCCGTGGCCAGGCAAATTGCCTTGACTTGCATTGGGGCTGCGTGGAAAAAACAGCCCTAACGCAACTGGTGTGAATAGGCCCTTAATGGTATGCTCTGTTGGCGAGTCCACCCACAAACTATAGCATAGTTTACCTTAAAACATGAGGGGGAAAAAGCAATTTTATATGCTGTGTCCTTAAAGGAGAACTATGAGGCGAGTACTTTTCACTCACTTCATAGTTCTAGCCAACCTGTGACAATAAGACTGCCACAGGTCGGCTTAGTAGATTGGGAGGTGAGCGAACACATACCGGCGTTCGCTCACCTCTCGATCCTGTCATGGCTCTCTGCCGTGACAGGGGAGGGGCTGGATTCCCTCCTCCCTGCTCCGATCCGCCAGCGCCGACTGGCAGATCGGACGTGTGAGGGTACAGCTGGCTCTGCCTCTTGATAGGCAGAGCTAGCTGTCACTTATGCAGCAGGGCGGATCCAGACATAATTGTCGGGATCCGCTTCAGCGTCTCAGTATACCGCGAGCAGTAGCTCGCGGTATACTGAGCTTAGGGTGACGGGAGGACGCTAGTTTGTGTCCTCCCGTTACCCTAAGGAGAACTATGGGGAAAATCCTTAACCCCAGAGTTCTCCTTTAATTAAGGATAGGGCTATATAAAGGAAATAGATATGTTGGGTCACGTAGCACTAATGAAGAGCGTTTGCCCTTAAAATGTGTCAGCCAGGATGCATGCTTGTGGGCAGTGACAAGGTGTTGCCTAGCGGGATTAACAGCAGAGTATTTCCCACATTTACAACATAGAGCAAGTCTCACCTTGGATGGATTTTATTTGATATGCTGTGTTGCAAAGATCCATTGTGAGTGCAATATATACGATTATACAATAAAGTTTTATTGAAGAGGTCACATGATGCTGTGCACTATTTGTTCTATACCGTTCCAGTGAACCTGACCTGTCCATTAAACTGCATAAACCAACACTACTGATGAAGTGCTTACTTATCTTTCAATCAATTTCTTTGACAGTCATTTTTTATGTATGCATGATGGTATATGTTATACCTGATCCATAGCATTGTACTAGGAGAAAGGTAAAAGAAAGGGCTGCACTGCTAAGTAGGAGATTGGCCCTACATATGTAATAAGCAAATATGGTGACCACTATGTACAAGCTAGTGATTCGTCATCAAAGCCAGGAAAGTACCATTAGTAGTAGTGAAGCTAAAACGTTATTATATTTTGGATGGAGCAGATTAAGCGTTAGAATCTCTGCCACTTTTTTTGTCATCTGTGTCCTCTTTATTTCCTTTCAGGACAGGCAGTGATGGGAAATCTCTCCCAAATGTGATAGACATAAAAGGCTAGAACTTTTGACAATGTTGTTATTGCTGCCTGTGCTTTCCTGTTCGGATGACACCCGCACGCTTTTTGTATGTCACAGGAACGGGAAGGAAGAGACCATCTACCCAATCTGGTCACAGACAGAAATAAATGCCATATAGGATTTAACTGTTCCCTGCTTTATCCAAAAAGAAATCTACAAAAAAAATAGGATTTTTGTACTCACCGTAAAATCCTTTTCTCTCCGTTCATTGAAGGACACAGACAACAGATCGTAGATCCTGAATGGTAATATCGCCACCTGCAGGAGAAGGACGCTAGGCACAAATTCTCCAGAGAAAATTTTTTAGCTCCTTACTCCTGACGCTAGGCAAAAAACTGGAGACTTGTCAGCAGGTGGGGGGTTTGGCCACCGGCAGGGGCCGCCCCTAGGCTGTAATTGGTCTTTAGTTTTGTGCCTAGCGTCCTTCTCCTGCAGGTGGCGATATTACCCTACCATTCAGGATCTACGATCTGTTACCTGTGTCCTTCAATGAACGGGAGAGAAATAATTGTGCATTTCTAAATAGCCAATTTAAATCCACGTGTGCACTAAATGCCTTTGCATGGCCAGATATTACCCTGAAAAGGACTGTACTGGCGGGGACAAGACCCATCACTCTGCACAAGGAGAGAGCGCAGCAGTGACAGGTCTTTATTACAGGAAGATCCTGCACGGAGGCAAAGTTTCACACTAGATTACTGCACAGATCTGGAAGAAATACACAAAGCACGCCAAGACTCAAGGAAGAATACACATGGCTCTTGGATATATAGATTACTTATCCCGGAGTTCAGCTTTAAAGCTCTCTACATGTAATCATGTGAAGAACATCTTTATAGAAGACATGTACCTGATTCCTCAGACAGCTGTGATACATGGAGGCCAGCCTGTGATGGATGGTTGCGGCACGGTACTGACATAAAGGCTGTCGAGCGGATGCAGTTTCCACATCACAGTATTTCAGGGACTTCATCATGGCTTCTGTCACTTCTCTTTCAATCTGTACACAACACAGCACAATAAAGACTACATCTTCATAATTATGAATGGACAACAAAAATCACTTGTCACTACATTCCATTTCGTGTACGGAGGCAGTTCAGTCCATGCATTTGTCCACCTGCATCAATACTATATCAGCCGGGGTAGCCAAACTCAGGCCCTCCAGCTGGGTAGACTACAAACTCCATCATGCAACAGCCTCCAAAAGTCATGCTCTCAGAGTCTTGTAATGACTGAGGGGATTTGTAGCTTCACCACCTTTAGAGGGCCAAAGTTTGGCTACCCCTGCTATACAGTATAGGACAGAACCATACAGGGATATTAAATGAATATAAATGTTATATATGCTTGATAAAGATTAAAATTATATATGGCTGATCTTTCCTTTCCCAATTTTTTTGGTGTCTGTGCCACACTCCCCTTCTCAATACACCGTCAGCGGAGCCAAGTAGGAAGCTCACACATTGTATTTGCCATTATTGTAGTGTATTGTTCCGATGCAAGCATATTTATTGGGTGCTGTAAAGTTCTAAGAAATATGGAGTTTTTAATTAAATACAAAATACACCAATCCCCTATTGTGCAGAAGATCACAGGGATCAATTATATTATTGCAGATGTCAAATCTAGAGCCTTAGTCCAAAATAATGAAAAAATGTATTAGAAGAGGAAATCTGTTCATGCATGAAGCTTTCACGATCCCTAGATAGTCATGACATAAATTGCATGACAAAGGGCTCTATATATCTAGAAAGGGAACGTTATGACACAAATTGCTCCGATAGATCTAGATTCTAGATCTACCGGAGCAATTTGTGTCATAACGTTCCCTTTCTAGATAAATAAAACTTTGTCACGTATTTAAGGTGCATTTGTAAAACAAAAAGAAAAAATAACCCTTTAAAATAAACTAAAAACAGGACCAAACCCATTACAGTTCCCCTTTATTTATGTAACCTAGGAGTGTTATTTGAATCAACCATGGAAACATGGACAGACATTAATAGAAATAGGTCCAGGAAGGTAAAGAAAGCATTAACACAACCCATGTTGACTTCATTCACACTGCGAGCCCTATACAAATTTATTTTCCTCTGATTTCCCTCATGAAGTCCTGTATGTTCCCTCTTATATGACTCAGAGATCAGCTCTGAGCACTGCATGCTGAGACACACCGTATGATCACACGAGGAGAGCAGCGGGTCTCACACAGACATACTGTACACTGTGAGCGGTCTACAAGTGCACATACCTGCTCCTGTGCTTTCCTGGAGATGGGAGCATAGTCCTGCAGCAGAGTGGCCATCGTAAAATAAGTTGTGGACAGCTCCCAATAAACCGAGTCCCACACAGCCTGGTGAGCCTCTCTTTTATTCAGAGACTTCAATGCTCTTTGATAGTAATCAATAGCCTGTAAACAGACAGATTAGGCACCATTAACTAACAAAAAGAATAAAGAAGGTTCTGTGCAGCAGGATGTACAGTCTGAATTGCTCATTTGTCACAGGGTTACATTAAACAAAACTCTGCTTCACGTACCTCATGTACAGCGCTGCAATGTCCACAAGCTCCTTCTCAACGGCTGACATCTTCACATGGATGTGGTGTCTTAAGCCATTTGATTGGGTGCCCGGGATGCGTACCAAATTAATGCACCCAAGTCCCAAGGAATGCCAAGCTTGTACTACAAGCTTTAGCACCACTCAAATGGGAAGGCAAGATTCTTTTATAGTAAAAGAAACATACAGAATTCTCTTCTGCAATAAAAGCCGTCCTGCCAGCAAATTTATTTTCCTACACTCAAGTTCCACTTTGCAGAATAATGTGCCACCAAATTAAATATGAAATCGGCAATCAACTTTGCAAATTCAGGTCATAAAGATTTGTTTATTTTACCTTCTTGCCATGTGTGCATTCTATGTAGTAATGTGAAACACATGTTTATAACATCTAAAAAAAAATAAAAAATTGATGGTCACAAGTGCCCATAATCTCAGTGTACACCATTTGTTATGGTGAACAATACATATGCAAATACATGATACATGTTGAAGCCGCACTGCTACATAAAAGCACCTCTAATAAGTGGCAAGTGTAGTCCCTAACTCTAAACTGGCTGATTTTCTAAACTGCGGGACATGCACAGACAGAACAGGCTTCCCTTGAGTCAGCCCCATCCTCAAAAAGGTACACACCAGAGGCCCGATGCACTGCTATGCAAAATCCCACATTTGGAAAACTCACAGTTGTCGGAGACCACACTTCTCAGAGGGGTTTTGACATGGAAAACGTGGCTTCAGCATGTATTTGCAAATGTATGCAACTACAACATCTGCTTTTAACCTGAGTAGGTAAACAGTTTTTTGTTTTTTTTTGCTGGCTAGGTTGAAAGTGTGCTGGGGACCCCTTTGGTATTGTTTTGTATATTTGCCTTGTCCATGTGCACCTTTCTCTTTTTGCTAGTAAAAAAACCAGATCAGAGCAGCTGCCATATTTGCCATTATGGCGAACAGGTATTTAGGTCCCATGATGTTGTAGTAGGAAAAGAAAAACACTGATAGGAAAATACATTATAAAACATATTAAAATAGGGGTTCCTGTAGTTTGGAAAGCACTCCATTGTATAGTTATAACGTTTTGTATGGCTTAGAAAGGTAGGGATTCCATGAATAGCAATGAAATGCGTTATAAATGAGGAAGATTTCCTTACTATGTATTCCATATATGCAAATATGTGGTGGGATAACTAAATATATCTTGTGGCGCAAACTTTTTACAAAACAAAAAAACAAAACTTGGTTCTCTTTATAATGTCTGATTAAAAGAATGAAGTACTGTTAAAACTATGCCCCCAAAATATGACCAGTTTAGCCAATGAACAATATTTTCCCATTCCTACCATTTACTGGTCAGCAGCTGTCAGTAGGGCCTGTATAGTCTCCTACTGTATTGGATTTTATATTTTAGGAGAAGCAGCATTCAGACCTCCAACATGGATGAGAAGCTTCTACGAGCTCTGCCCAGTACTGCTCTTCAGTCCCACATTATGTAAATAAGACCCAGTAGCTCACCACACTGAGAAATGTCCATATATGTTTCCAAGTACAAAAACAATACATGCACGAAGCATCAGTGTAATGATTGACACTGTCCTCACCTTATTGTAATAGAGAGCTTCATCTGGAGAGAACTCCCCTCTTCTCACATCATTTGCACTGCCGCAGTGTGCCTGGGCACATATCCTCATCAGTCGCCCCAGGTTGCACAGTAAGAGAGCCATGTTTGTGGTGTCCTGGATGGATTCAAAGTTGGCAATTCCTTTCTCAAAGCTGGAGTAGCTCTTCTTCCACAAGTCCTGCTCTGCATTGGAAACGCTCTTACCTCCTAGATGGCGTCAAACAAGCAAAACTATTAATGTGAATAAATAACTGTGTTTATTTATACCCATTATAGGTCTAAAAATCGCAATTGTATAAGGAATCCAAATTATGAACTAGAATGTGCAGGTGGTTCAGAATCACAAAATGGCTAAGGGACCTAACTAAAGCAAAGAGTCGTACAGCTCTCTGCTGGACATTGCAATTTTACTCTACATTCTATATTGCCTTTTGCATCCCATTCATAAGATGCAGGTCATGGCGTGGAGTTTGTGGTGTCTTAGGGTATTACTGCAGAACACTGCAGAGAGAATGCTACGACGGGTCCCATGATTAGGGGCACATTTGTAAATCACGCCGCTGTGCTTTAGGCTCTATTCACACCTATATTTTAGGTGTGATAAAGGATTCTTGCGTCATAAACTTGTGATTTCCTGCAGCAAGATCCCTAATCTGCTGTTTACAGGTGGCAGCTGTCACCCATGCAATTAATGAACGGGTGAAAGCCGCTGCATTTGAATGCAGCCACACCGCAGGTAATCATATGCTATAAGATTACATGCGGTTAAGACTCAATCACTATCCCTGGACACATCGATCATGCATCCGGGAATAAATGACATGTGCCGGTGTTCAAATGCAGCAGCTGTCACCCGGTCATTAACTTCAACGGGTGACAGCTGCCACTTGTAAATGCAAGTAATAGCAAGTTCATAATGCAGGAATCCCTAAATTAGACCTAAAATATAGGTGTGAATAGAGCCTAAAGCACAGCGGCGTGATTTGCAAATGTGCGTCTAATCATGGGTCAAGTCATAGATTTCTCTGTGCATCATTCTGTAGGAAAACAGACACCACGGACTCCACGCCGTGACCTACATCTTATAAATGGGATGTGAAATGCAGTTTACAGTGTAGAGTAATATTGCAATGTCCAGCAGAGAGCTGCACGACTCTGCTTTAGTTAGGTCCCTTAGCCATTTTCTTACTCCAAACCACCTGCAAATTGTAGGGGTGCGTCGAAATAGAAATGTAAAAACCGAAACAAAACCAAAATAAAAATTGTCAGGCCGAAACCGAAAATGTTTTTATTTAAATTTTTTGATAAACCTTTCAATTTTGTTCATATTTATGTTTATTTATCAATTAATTTTTTTATTAAATATTAGTTTTTACTTTACTTTTAGGGGCTCCAGGGAAATATTGGGGATCTAAAACAGACCCCTGATATTTCCCTTTTAAAATATAAAAAGTTATGAGGACACAGAGTCCTCAATGTCACAGGAGGCTGAGCGAGTGGTGCGGGGAGGAGAGCTCAGCCTCCTGTGACAGCGCGGGCTTTCTCCGCCCCCACACACAGCTCTGCCGAACTGTGATAGGCGGCTGAGCGGTGTGGGAGGAGAGACGCCGGGCACACTCACAGCTCTCTCCTCCCGCAGTGCAAACCCTAACCCTTTTGATGAAGGCAGAACAACCTTTTAAAATAAACTCAACCTTCACTAATAAAAATTTAATTAACATTAATAACTGCTATAAGCCATCTGCTAAAGAAATTTTATTAAAATTAGCTTTCCATTTCAATCTGTAGCAAGTTATGATTTCCCAAAACAACAAATATTCAAATGCTGCTTC